ATGAATTTAGGTAAAGAAACAGTTATTTTTTAGCTAGAATAACTGTTTCCTCTTCAGAGGCAGGACCTTATTCCGTCCTTGTTATAATGTTTCCTTTGTAAGGCACAGCACTGATGATTTCGTTATGAAGCAGGTTTTCTGAAGTACAGATAATCACACTTCATGTACAGTAAACATCAGTTTCTTAATCAAATGACGTATATTACATATGAAATGAGATAAATTTTGAATGAAGGAATTGTCAAAACCATGAGAATTTTCTTCAATACATGTAGTACTGTATAAAATGTATGAATCGTCAATGGAAAGTTTATATACATATATTCTCCAATAGAATAAAGCATCTCCATACTACTGCCAAATGTGTATTAGCATGCACACGCCCATTAAATGACTGCACGTGTACACACGTGCATAGTTTGTCATGCGCCCATCGTCTGGCGGGGCGTTCATTCTGTACCTGAATACACATCAAACGAAGCACAGTCCTGACGGAGTAGTCACTAATGATGAAGGCAGGGTTACCACAGCGTTGTGTTGCTCCGCCTGACTTCCTAAAACAATAAATGCAGTCTATAAATGATAATTTTAAGACATTACGACACAGACCATTAGTTAAACATCACTCTACATAGAAAAGGCTTTACAGAGTTATGGATTTAATTACTAGATTGGTTAAAATCTGTAATCTGAAGTAAAGACTTTGCTGACGGTATGTATACTGACATAGACAATGATGAATGGATTTATTAAAATAGCTGAACGCATTATTCTGATATCAGTTCAATAAAATAAACCTAATACCCTTGCATGAATATTACTTATTAACATAAATAGATGTAAATTATTTAAATTAAATATTACATTCGATAATGTTGAAATATACTAAATTATTATAAACATTTTCCTTAACCGTGAAAAGGGAGATTAAAGTTGTAACACAAGAAATATTAAATACATCATTCCGGAACATACAAGTCATGGACGGCTATTCAATATTTCTAATTGATTAGCATTTTAAAACTGTTACAGAATAACGGATTAGAATTCCAACACTGAAAATTTGTCTTCAGTCACAAATTTATCTCGGGGAGACGGGAGAGGGAGGAGGGTACAACATATTTGTATGAGCTGTGTACTCACAATTTGGATCTGTTATGATTTCATAAATCAATTTCTTGATAGAACGAGATATAGAAGTACGTTGATAAGTGCGAGTTTTTCAGTGTATAGGTGAAGGAATTCCGTTAGACCTGGCATCTGTCCTACCTGCTCGGCATTACACCCTGATGACCTGTAGAAGTGCCAAATGAAGGTCAACAGCTTGACCACGGTCCAACACATTCTGCCTACACTGTCCACGTGGTACAGATATTCACGGAATGTGCTCCTCCTCAAGTATGTTTCCTCCATTTCGTCTCCTATAGCCCTGCAACACCTCCCGACCACTTGTGCGTCATGTAATTCCTCACCTTCCATTCTTTGTTTTATGTCACAGAATGTAAGTAAAGTATAATTCCAACTTATAGTGGACAAGTCTTCTAATCTATACAGATTTCCGCGGTCTTCAGAGAAAATTCGCCATCTTATTAAAAAATCCTCTTCAGAAATTAAATGCGACTGCAAAGTTCCCACATGCAGAAAGGATATAGAATGCGGTCAATTTGCGTTGTTGTTTGTTTTTCGGCGCTATTTATACCATTCGGTCACATGGAGAAATTATATACCAATAAATTACTATGCCTTCAAATATGCGAAAATAATTAGGTATCATTTTTCAAACAGAACAAATCAACATTTTCATTACTTTATGAATATAATTTTGATATTTTCCCTTAGCTTTCGCTATGACTTAATGAAATTTATTGAGGCAATCTGCCATATAGGTCAAATGAGATAATATGCAAATGTATGAAGTCACTCCATAAGGAAATGTTCTTTTTTCCCAATATATTGAAATTGTTGTCTTTTTCCAAATTACAAAAACTATATATCACAATTCTGTTATCATGATTGGAACACCTTTTATCTGAAATAAATATTGACATTTATTTAGTAATAGATAAAATATTATATAAAGTGTAGTAAAATCAGACAACACGATAACAGACGAATTGACACTGGACTTGGTGAAGGAGTTACCTCCCTTCCGCATATTTTGGCAGAGCACTGGGACAGTATGGCATGTGAGATACAGAGTTTGTATTCGTTTTGTGTTTGCTTGTCATCATGATCTACTTATCAGGAGTGTTGCCTCGTCATTGTATTGCAGAATTTCGTCAGGGCCATTCAATACTTACGTATAATTTATCACATTTCATATCCCGATTACAGCTGTGCTAATTCTGTGTACATTGGTAAATCGATAAAAATCTGTGTCAGAAGTATGATCTACATTCGTCTATGTGACGTGTGTGTGTAGTACATTAATGCTGTTGAATATATTTGTACTCGATCACATATTGAGTCAAAGGTTCGTTTTACATATAATAAAATTACAATGATCAATTAGTACTAGATACGATAAAGTAATTGCACAGACATATCAGTATGAAAATATCACAGTTTCAGCTTCAACAAAAAGGAGATTTCCGTCTGAAATGTTCAATGTTTCACGGAACAATGTGAATGGGCTTCCTTCATTGTTCCTTGAAACATTTAACATTTTAGATGGGAACGCCTTTTAGCTGAATCTGATACTGTGATATTTTGATATCAATATGTCAACTTCGGTCTTTCTAATAATCAGAAGATTGAGTAGACTAATTATAACAATTAACTTTAGATTTCTATAAAATCCTCAGAAAACAGATGTAAGGTTAAACATGTATGTATCACAAAATCAATATCACTTTAACATAAATGTTTTTGGTTTTATCAAGTTTGTTAATCTCGCCTGCTGGTTGTCGATCTGATAGCCTACATAGAATCCGCGGCATTACAAACACAAAGTCATCTCTGACTGACAGGAGCGATTTCCATTCCTGGTTTAAAATGTTTATCTTATTCTGAAAATCTCACCACTCCACTCCTTGACACAAAAGCGCAGAAGTACTCGTCACATTTTGTCGGCCATTCTTCGATTTGGACTTGCCGACGTCAGCATTTGATTAAGCGGGAAATTTAAACAAAGCATTTTTTGTTTTTGTTGTTTTATCTATTTATTTATTCATTTTTGTTTTTCTACAGATAACGAAAATTATATATGAATGTGAAGGTTAACATTGAAATGATGCAGGTGGTAGTGTGAAGTTGATATAAATACAATTTGTTTGACAGATAAGCAATTCTGTCATACCCTATTTCATTTATCTGTCACCCAAATTCCCCTGGTAAAAGTTCATTGCTTCAGTCTCCCAGATTGACAGAGTTATAACTTGTATGTAAGATACAACCATCACAAGAGCTTTATACAACAATCACACAAAATGTCTTTAATTGTACAGTAGTCAGCAAACGACCATACAATAATTCTTTCTTTCTTTCCTTTTTTTATATATATATTTTTTGCATTACATGCTACTGTATAGTTTCAGTTATCGCTTCTCCGGACATAATACCACCATGCCAATATAACTTTAAGGTTGAGTCATTATACCCCGTATAATACAAAGTATCCTTTAGGACAAGTCTGATTCTATAGCACTGGTCAGATAAAATACATTGTATAAAGGTGAAATTCAATTGTTGTTTAAATAGAGTAATTGTGTACATAAACATATATATGTCCGGCATGAGAGTACAAAAATCAGAAAAAAATTAGACGGTGAATATAACGTAAACTTATCATATACATAGACGGTAAATATTACGTAAACTTATCATATACATAGACGGTAAATATTACGTAAACTTATCAGATACATAGACGGTAAATATTACGTAAACTTATCAGATACATAGACGGTAAATATTACGTAAACTTATCATATACATAGACGGTAAATATTACGTAAACTTATCATATACATAGACGGTAAATATTACGTAAACTTATCAGATACATAGACGGTAAATATTACGTAAATTTATCATATACATAGACGGTAAATATTACGTAAACTTATCATATACATAGACGGTAAATATTACGTAAACTTATCATATACATAGACGGTAAATATTACATAAACTTATCATATACATAGATGGTAAATATTACTTATATAAACTAATATACATAAAAGGCCTATCTGTGATAGAAACAATGACCATTGTATTAATCCTAAGCTCTGTATGATGCCAGTATGATAATCTACCCTATAGGCGAGATAACAGTTGTTACCCTTTAAGATGTTAGTACAACAATATTACAATAAATATATACTTATATAAAAAACAGACGTATCAAGTGACGGTCTCCATACTGTTACGTAGTTAAGTGACTCTGTAAATATGTGATGTGGTTCTAGGATCATACTGTTTCCTAATCATATCGTAATAGTGAGATTTTGGTTAGATAAAGACATACAGCGTGTATCTCGAGAACTGTGAGAATTTTCACAACAAGATATTGAAGTGTTTTTCATACAATATGATAACAACCCTGGTATTATATCGTGTTACCCTCGGGTACACAAACAGATATTGCTGCATTTGGTAAAAAATACCTCAGGAAACACAGAGTGCGCATGACGATATAGTGATCACATCGAGAAATATTCTATTCCTTTGCGTGTTTGATGCTGGTTAGTTTGCCTGTTTGTTTCGATGCTGTATACATTGATATTACTTACTAGGATTGACCATGGTTCAGAAGGCGGTTTTCTTTGATGAAGTAGAAGACGCATGCTCTTCCGAAACACCTTGTACTTTTTCATTAACCCATGTGTAGATCTAGTTTTACTGAATTTAAGTTTCGATTATGATTTGACGAGGCTTTCATATTTCATGAATCAATATGGTTTAAAACCTATGGTTATATTTGGTTAGAATTGCGATGGTTTTCAGTACACAATACATGATACCTAAATGATTACCCGAGTGTGACATGCCAGACGTTACACTATGGGTAAGATATCTGTTTTGTATTTAATTCTGATTGGTAGACTATGAATGTTATTTGCGTTTCTACCACAGCGATGCCATATATAATTCGCACAGATTCGCTGTAATGGTGCCACCGACTTAGAAAACTCTGTGAGTTTCGACTTTATTCTGGCAATATGAGATTTTAGTCTGTCAGCGTTGTTTCTTCCGTGGTCATGAATGAAAATTTGTAGAGTTTCGTGTATGGCCCTATTCGACATGTAGCGACACAGATCTAGCATACAGCCGACGTCCGCCGTCTTGTCCGGCTGTGTCTTATGTGACGGTATTGCCAGTATGCTGACAAATAGGCTGTCAGTGAAGACATTGATGCAATATTTCCCATTTACTTTAATGTTTGGATTCGCGCCTTGTCTGAGGAAGACTTTCAGTACGTCTGAATCTACTCCGAGCTTGACGCTGGATTTTGCGTATTGGTGAAGAATCGAACCACTCAGCGTGCTCTTTTGATCTCCAAGGCGACCAACTTGGTGTATATCGGCATCAAACCGGAAGAGAACGTCAGAACATTCAGTGATGAACTTTACAGCCAGAGCCTTGGAATCAAAATAGGAGGCGTATATCTCTACTGTATCTAGTAAACAATGAAGAGCGCTAGAAAATGCTGGGCGCCCTACAACGGATTTGCTGCCTTTCTTTTGCATCACTCGTTCATGTCGGACTTCATCAAAGTTTGGGTTTGCATTTGCCTTCAGAAGAAGCTTGAGACATGCTAGATAATACTGTGTGTTGATGTAATCATGTGCACACAAAGAATTGCGTAGCAACGTATAAAGTGGATATGTGTTGCACGGAGATTTAGAGTTGACGTCATGCCGATATTTAATGAGAACACTTGTCACGTCTGGCAGTCGTCTATATCCTTCGCGACCAAAGCCTTTCACAGCACTGTTCGTATATAAAGAATGGTAGAGGTTAACACCCTTCATGACCTCCCGGGTATCTACACCTGTACCAAGCAGAGAGTCCAAGATTTCAGCTCTAGCGAAACGTATAGCCAATTCGACAGCACTAAGAATATCCGCTTTGTCATATTTTTGTGCTAACAAAAAGTTTACGGCCTTTAGTGAACCAGACACTGTAGCAAGAGACAGATAGCCACTTTTGGCGTGTTCGGGGTGCTCCTTGATTACACATTGGTTTAAAATAAGGTGGATACATTGCACGTGACCAGCGGAGGCAGCGACATCTAGTGGGGTGACCTATTTAATATAAGCAGAATAAATTAGCGCATTGTTAATATGACAGATACAATGTAATAATGTAATATGCCCCAACACCCACACCAAACACATACACAACAAACACATACACACCAAACACATACACACCAAACACATACACAACAAACACATACACGCCAAACACATGCACACCAAACACATACACACAAAACACAAACACACCAAACACATTCACAACAAACACATGCACACCAAACACATCCACAGCAAACACATACACACCAAACACATACACACCAAACACATACACAACAAACACATACACACCAAACACATACACAACAAACACATACACGCCAAACACATGCACACCAAACACATACACACAAAACACAAACACACCAAACACATCCACAACAAACACATGCACACCAAACACATCCACAGCAAACACATACACACCAAACACATACACACAAAACACAAACACACCAAACACATCCACAACAAACACATGCACACCAAACACATACACACCAAACACATACACCAAACACATACACAACAAACACATACACAACAAACACATACACCAAACACATGCACACCAAACACATACACACAAAACACAAACACACCAAACACATCCACAACAAACACATGCACACCAAACACATCCACAGCAAACACATACACACCAAACACATACACACCAAACACATACACACCAAACACATACACACCAAACACATACACAACAAACACATGCACACCAAACACATGCACACCAAACACATACACACAAAACACAAACACACCAAACACATCCACAACAAACACATGCACACCAAACACATCCACAGCAAACACATACACACCAAACACATACACACAAAACACAAACACACCAAACACATCCACAACAAACACATGCACACCAAACACATACACACCAAACACATACACCAAACACATACACACAAAACACATACACCAAACACATACACACAAAACACAAACACACCAAACACATCCACAACAAACACATGCACACCAAACACATCCACAGAAAACACATACACACCAAACACATACACACAAAACACAAACACACCAAACACATCCACACCAAACACATGCACACCAAACACATACACAACAAACACATACACGCCAAACACATGCACCAAACACATGCACACCAAACACATACACACAAAACACATACACACCAAACACAAACACACCAAACACATACACACCAAACACATACACCAAACACATACACGCCCAACACATACACAACAAACACATACACACCAAACACATGCACACCCAACACATACACACCAAACACATACACAACAAACACATACACCAAACACGTGCACACCAAACACATACACAACAAACACATACACACCCAACACATACTCACCAAACACATGCACCAAACACATGCACACCAAACACATACACCAAACACATACACGCCCAACACACACACCAAACATATACACGCCAAACACATACACCAAACACATACACCAAACACATACACACAAAACACAAACACACCAAACACAAACACACCAAACACACACACACACAAAACACAAACACACCAAACACAAACACACCAAACACATACACACCAAACACATACACACCAAACACATACACACCAACACATACACACAGCAGTAATTGAGTGATGAGTGACTTGCCCTTATCAAGCTGGGGTATCATGTATGAAAGATTGTACAAAGGAGTAAATCGTCGCTTTCAATTCGAATTTAGAATCAAATAGAGTAGAGCAGAACAATCATGTAAACTGCATCACACAATCGTGTCGTCCTTCTAGGACTCGTCATTGATGCTACATCACACAACCGTGTCGTCCTTCTAGGACTCGTCATTGATGCTACATCACACAATCGTGTCGTCCTTCTAGGACTTGTCAGTGATGCTACATCACACAACCGTGTCGTCCTTCTAGGATTCGTCAGTGATGCTACATCACACAACCGTGTCGTCCTTCTAGGACTCGTCAGTGATGCTACATCACACAACCGTGTCGTCCTTCTAGGACTCGTCATTGATGCTACATCACACAACCGTGTCGTCCTTCTTGGACTCGTCATTGATGCTAAGGCCTTGAATTTTGAAACCCAGGAGACGGCCGAGGAAGGTGTAGATGGGGAGGTACTCTAGCCTCATACTTATATAAATATCGTAACTCTACTTTACATATTCTGTCTATATTTACTGCCTCACATAACTATACCGCTAGGGGATTCTGACACATTCTTGTATCCACGTATACTCACACTATTGTAATGGACTTAACGTACTTAGTTGTTTATCGTGTACAAATGTTACATATTTACACAAGTCGGGTGATAGATTACCTCAGAAATCGGTCTTGATGAGTTTTGACTTTCCGGAAAAACAAGACTTTTGGTTGGCCTATTGTCGCCTGGACGGTGAGTAAGAAGGAGATTGATAATTGTTCTAAATCCTAAGTGTGCCGCCAAATGGAGATAAGGATTCACTTCCGGTTCAAAAGGTCGCACGAAATATCCATTCGTCAATAGATATTCTACTACTTCCGGATTGTTGTTGAGGATGGAATGATGTAAGACATCCATTTGCTTAGCGTCCTTCCATTGAATGAGCTGGTCTCGGTTACACATACCTAACAACATTTTCAATTTCTTGCATCCTTCATTTTTTTTCAAAGTCTCCAGACAGTCTCTTACAACAGAGTCAACGTTATCCATTTCCGTGTTTATCTTCTACGATGGTCACTGCCACAACGGAACTAGTCGTTACAGCTAAACCCTGTAAAATAGTAAATAATTTGATCCAGTGAGTCTCTGGGGCAAGCTCGGTTTCGGTTTGTTACAGCTACCTCATTCCAGAGACATTTTAGAAATAGGTAACATGTAAAACAATGATGTTGTAATATTGTTTCTTTGGCTTAGATGAACGGTGATAAAAGTTATACCAATGTGTTTGTTTTATATTTTATAATAATAATATAATTACTATCATATCACAATTATATATACAATATATGAAATTAAACGTAGGAGAATAGTTAAAGGAAGGTAAAATCTAAGGCTAACATTCACCATAGAATCTGACCACTTTGGTAGTTAGTTATAAATACACCAGTTATTCAATAGAAGAAAACATAGTCTTAACACACACCATATTTAAAGAGCCAAGCTTATGCTTCTGGGTTCATGCACTGGGATTTCGTTCATTTATAAGCATAAAAGCAGATACAAATTGGGTACATGATCTCGTATACTGGTATTCGTCCGGTATAGAGTTTATTCAAATAGACAAACCTCTGGTACGTATGTTTGTATACTGGTAAATTTCTGGTTACATATGTAGACAGCTCTCTGTCTCCTGATTCCAAATACATGCTGTACTTTTGTACCGTAAGTTCTATACAACCGAGGTTGGTTCTATAGACCCTAATGATATCTGTGGTCACAAAATGACCCGTTTAATTCTAATCCGCTTAGCAATACGTTACGTCCAATTCAATACAGGATATATTTTAATCATATTTGAAAATGATAGTGGCGAATTGGAGTTTTGAATAGACACATATCTCACTATGTCCACTGACACAGAAGAAAGAACTCTGAATGACCCCTCTTAGTTTCGCAGACTTGACCTGAAGCAAAACGTGGGCGGTGTCGCAATATTCATGCTTTCGAAAATTTTGCATGTTTTCACTTAAGGTGGTGTTCTGAAGGTATAAATGAATTTTATTCATCTAGAAGTATCCTATCGTCAAGAAAATTGTACAAAAGACACAGAAGTGAATATAACATTTAAATACAATTTAGAGGTATAGTAGGGTCAAACAATGAATTCAACTACATCATACAGCTGTTTCGTCCGTTTAGGACATTGTTGTATTTTTCTGAATTAAGTAAGGATAGTGATCCTGTTACCGTTAAATTTGCTAACACTTGTCAATCAATTGTGCACGATGAATTTGCAAGTTAATATAAGAATATTTATACTATAATATCTTGAAAATGGTTGAATTTGTTTTTTGTTGTTAATTGCAACTTATACATGAAATCGACCGCATAGAAAGTGACGTTAGAAGTATTTAATAAAATCTTTATCAGGGGCATCAATTTTAGAGAAAAAAATTGACTGTGACACGAATGATAAAAACTGACATCATTATAAGACATGTTTAATTATAATTTGTCAGTACGCGTGTTTCCGCGTGCTTTACTGGTCATTCACATACCAATCAGTACCACTGTACTCTCAACTTCCGAGAATACCAATTGTCTGCTGATCAAGCCGAGAGGAAGCACTAATTCCGCTTACCGTAGCCATCAACATGTAGATATATATATTCTATTGTTAATTAATCGATCCGCTAGATACATTAGCATTGATACAAAGGTAGTACAATATGACTTCGACTAGCGAATGTCTGTCATTTAACGGGAACTAACAGACATACATTGCGACTTCGGAATACTGATGTCTGAAGTCAGTAGTGTCATATTTTGTTGTATTATAAAGAAATACAAATATAAGGCTGGTAGATACATATACATACTTATGTCTTATGATAAGAGACAATTTAAACTTCAAAAGATTTTGAAATGTCATCCAATTAAACATATATATATATATATATATATATATATATATGTGTGTGTGTGTGTATATATATAAATATACATATATATATATATATAATTACTTATGGCTTATAATATTACAAAGTAAACATGTATAACATTCTACATGAACCTTCAAACACGATACCTGAGACGTGAAGGACCGATTCTAATATCTATAGTCAATAAATGAGTTGTAATCCACCTGTTTTGACAAGTACTAAGTAGTTCATGAAAAGAAATATTTCTGTTACAGTATTGCATGTTCAGATCAGACATAGGGGATCGGGGACAAATACCATACGGTTTTAAAACCCTTATATACTGGCCCACAGCCGATTAGAGACTATACAACTATGGCTTTGATCTATTAGTGTAGGGGTTTAACACCACGAAAGCAGCGTAGTCTGAGCAACACATCGGGATATCGGTGTTTTATGTGCTTACAATGTAGAATCATTCCATGTAAAATTTTTGTCACTGGACAAAAAAAAAAAAAAAAAACATAATCAAATATACGTAGAATTTAGTGAACTAAAGCAGACAACAATACAACCAAAATACCCAAATAATTCCTGAATTGAGAGTAAAGGGGCGGTCAAACATGATAATACATGACACGGTGTCATGAATTTGGGAGACACAAGATCGAAACAAGAACAGTGGAAATACCTGTCCTAGTGTGGTAATATATTTCCAGCTCACCTATATAGCAGTAATAACTAGTATGTATATATATATACAAAGCCGACATGCTTACTTGGTGCATGTGACTTGATTAAATTACTATACTACAACTAAATGGAGACCGTGATATGAAAATAAAACTTACTGCTATATTAAAAAATACTAACGCAAAATATGTAGATACAGATAGCATAAAATGGCCATCGTGTTATTTAAATATGTTGGTTTAGATAAAATAGATATGCAATGTCCGATCGATAAAAGCAATGACATGAAATGAATGGTGTTAGTTTTATAATTCCATTTGTGTTGAAACAGAATACGTTCTTATTTTTACAAGATAAACTTTGATTATGTGCACCCTTTCGACCAGTAAACCGCTACAGATGTATTCTACATACACATATTATTTGGTATACATAGCGTATCTCCCCTACTTATTACTGTACCTATATAAGTGATATCGGAAGACTCACCTGTCCCTTGCTGTTTATTCCAGAGGTTACCCGTACGAAGTCCCTCACCTGTCCCTTGCTGTTTATTCCAGCGGTTACACGTACTGAGTCCGAAGCTTACTCTCTTACCTAGGTATTACCTCGCGCCGATCGCGATTAGACAATACAGGACAAGGTGAGTATTGACCCAGCACCTGGTTGAGAACGAAGGCCTAATTTCTTTGTTAATTTAAATGTCTTTTTCTTCTGTAGAACGACACTTTAAAATGACCCGTCCTATCGTTTGCCTATCCAAATTAATTCCCATAACTTCTATAAAAATAAGCGTTATGAAGATACATTGTGTATACAGGGAAGGGCTAACCTCTATTTTGGCTATTGTTCTGCTACTGTGTTTCCGTTAACAAACTATTATGTTATCTTGTTTTATTTGTTTCAAGTTATGATTTTGAATTCCCGTGAACATGTAGCACTGATATCGATGTGTAGGTTGATAGACTGAATGAGGTACGGATAGTTCGTGTTTTAAAGAGATAAAAAGATGGAAAAAATACTGTAGATCAACAAAATTACCGACCTGTTCGTATTAAACCGCGTAAAGCATATTTCCTAACAGCCTTCAGACCACAGTTTGGATGCCAACTTAATCTGACCTACTGCTACCGCGAATTGTTACGAACTGGTGCAAACATAGACCAGTCCAAGATTTTTTGATTGCCTTAAATGTAAAATACAGTTATCACAAACAGGTCTACTGTACAATACCGTTACCACAAACCGGTCTACTGTACAATACCGTTACCACAAACAGGTCTACTGTACAATACCGTTACCACAAACCGGTCTACTGTACAATACCGTTAACACAAACAGGTCTGCTGTAAAATACCGTTACCACAAACAGGTCTACTGTACAATACCGTTACCACAAACAGGTCTACTGTACAATACCGTTACCACAAACCGGTCTACTGTACAATACCGTTACCACAAACAGGTCTACTGTACATGTACAATACCGTTACCACAAACTGGTCTGCTGTACAATACCGTTACCACAAACAGGTCTACTGTACAATACCGTTACCACAAACAGGTCTACTGTACAATACCGTTACCACAAACCGGTCTGCTGTACAATACCGTTACCACAAACAGGTCTACTCTACAATACCGTTACCACAAAGAGGTCTACTGTACATGTACAATACCCTTACCACGAACAGGTCTACTGTACAATACCGTTACCACAAACTGGTCTGCTGTACAATACCGTTACCACAAACAGGTCTACTGTACAATACCGTTACCACAAACAGGTCTACTGTACAATACCGTTACCACAAACAGGTCTACTGTACAATACCGTTACCACAAACAGGTCTACTGTACAATACCGTTACCACAAACAGGTCTACTGTACATGTACAATACCGTTACCACAAACAGGTCTACGGTACAAGTACAATACCGTTACCACACACAGGTTTACTGTACAACACGGTTACCACACACAGGTCTACTGTACAATACTTTTACCACAAACAGGTCTACTGTACAATACCGTTACCACAAACAGGTCTACTGTACAATACCGTTACCACAAACAGATCTACTGTACAATACCGTTACTACAAACCGGTCTACTGTACAATACCGTTACCACAAACCGGTCTGCTGTACAATACCGTTACCACAAACAGGTGTGCTGTACAATACCGTTACCACAAACCGGTCTACTGTACAATACCATTACCACAAACAGGTCTACTGTACAATACTTTTACCACAAACAGGTCTACTGTACAATACCGTTACCGCAAACAGGTATACTGTACATGTACAATACCGTTACCACAAACAGGTCTACGGTACAAGTAAAATACCGTTACCACACACAGGTCTGCTGTACAATACCGTTACCACACACAGGTTTACTGTACAATACCGTTACCACAAACAGAT